CTCCTCCTCCTCCTCCTCCTCTCCCTCCAACGTATGGTGGTGGTGGTAGAAAAAACATCAGGGCATGTCCTCCTGCAGGCGGATTTCGGAAGAGAGACTAAAGATAACCACAGCATGCTCAAGCACAGCCAACAAGTTATCCAAAAGTCGTCCCCGGACTATTTGTATACTGCTTTTGAGCAGTCCTCCCGTAGAGGGACAGGCCCGACTTCAACGTACACACGTGCATGGATCCACACTGGCGTCGAGAGTACGCATGGCGCGAGCGTTCGTACCATGCGGCGGGTCTCGCGGACTGGGGGGCCGTGCTCCTGTACGTGGTTGGGCGCACACGTCCCTTGTGGGCTCCCCACAGGGGGTGGGGCCTCGCGAGGTCAATCCAGGTCAACACAGGTCAATCCAGACCCAGGTCAGTCAGGCGTTGCAGAATCCTGCAAGATCCTGAACCCAAACCCGGATCAATGCGAAGGATCCTGCAAGATCCTAAAGGATCCTGCACCCAAACCCGCACAAATGCGACCCTGGCCCTGCAGGATCCTGCAAGATCGGGCGCTCTGGCTGACCCTTGTTTGCGTTGACCCTCGTCTCACGGCTCCCGGAACGGGCGGGCGCGAGGAGTCGTGGAGGCCCGGCAGCGACGCAGCCGCCGCCAGCGGGGCCAGCGGCCCCTCGGGCTCCGAGCGCGGGGGGCGGCGCCCGAGGGGAGGCGAGGAGTCTGCAGCCAGTGGCGGGCCCTGCCCCTGCGGGTGCAGTCCAGTCGACGCACCCCAAGAGCGCCCCGAGAGGCGATTCGCATGGCCCCGGAGTGGGGGAAGCAAACCTAGGACCCCCCCGCCTGCTTGGATCGCCGCCCTACAAGATGGACCCAAGAAGCCTCACAGGGTCCCGAAGCCCCAAGAGGGCGCCAAGATACCTCGACAGAGCTCTACCAGGACCCAAGGGCCTTCCAAAAGATCCCCAAGAGGGCCCCAAGAGGACCCAAAGCAAACCCCAAGAGGATCCCAAGCAAACCCCAAGAAGACCCGAAACGAGCCCCCAAAAAGACCCAAAGAGAGCTCAAAGAGATACTGTCCTCGTTGGCAGGCCTCCTCCTCCTCCTCCTCCTCATCCGCGTCCTCATCTTCGTCTTCCTCATCTTCGCCCTTGTTTTCCGCGTCATCGTCATCGTCCTCGTATTCGCCGTCATCAACTGCCTCGTCGTCGTCCTCTTTCTCCTCATCCTTGTCCTCGTTCTCGTCCTCGTTCTGGCCCTCGTCGTCGTTGTCTTCCTCCTCCTCCTCGCCCTGGGGTGTCAGGAAGTCTCTGTTGTTCTCACGATGGCTCCAAGAAGGCCTCCGATGCTCAAAAACGGCCTCCAAGATGGCTCAAGACGCTCCTCCCCCTCCTCTCCTTGCCCGCTTCGTTTCACTATGTGTGTCTCTTCCTCCCGTTTCCCGTCAGCTCTCATGGACAACGTTTCTGAATGGGCTGGTGGGGATACGCGAAGCGTGAATAATTAAAGTATTAATGAGAACTCAGTCATTGTAAGACTGTGCACTCTTATCTGCTCGCGTGCCACTCAACATGTACCTATTATCCCGAACCCTCGATACCCGCCCTCTTCGTCTTCGATCGCACCTCCTTTGGAGGTATACCTGCCACGCGTTGCTGGTGCAGACCCTGAAACAGAGGGAAAGGAGGGAGGAGGGAAGGGACAACAGGGAGGGAAACGGATGGAGCACCCACATGGCTGGGTTTAGGTCAGGCATGTCCCCCTACAGGCGGATTTTGGACGAAAAATAAAACATAATCCAAAAATGCTCCCAAATAGTCTAACAAATAATCAAACAAACTCGTCCCCAGACTAGGCCCGACTGAAGGCTGGGTCGAGCGGCGGGGTCGCTTCAGAGGCAGTCCTGAATGAATAGCGAAGAACTCTCGAGCGATGGCGCGATTCCCAAGTCAACCGTGAGAAGTCCAAAGCGGGAGCGTGATTCCTGATTGCGAAGGGCCCCCACGCGAGAGCGCGATTACAGCACAACTTGGAGGAGATCCCGCGCGAGAGCGCGATTCTGAATGAATTGCCAAAGAAGTCTCTGGCGGGAGCCGCAGTTGTTGCAAAATGGAGGCCAGGGGCACAGTCTGAGGCCCAAGACGACCCCCGCGGAAAGACACGGGCCGAGCCCCTGATGGGGGCCCGACGCAGAGACCCTGAGGACAGTCGGCGGTGGACAAGCTTCCTTTTACTAAACCTCCCCGTAAAGAAAAAGGCCGAGGACCAAAACCGACGGACCTGGACCCGCGAACATGACGGCCACGACGCCCTCTCGCGAACCGAAAACGGCCGATTTCTTAATCGACGTGTCAGGGTAGGAGGTCGATCAAGCCGACGGCGGGCCGACGACGCCGGGCCGGCGACGGGCCGGTGCGCCGCCCCCCTCTCGCGGGGCCACGGGCCGCGGCACGCGGCACGCCGTCCCTCCCTTGCTCCTTTGCCTCCCTGACTCCCTTCCCCCCTCCCCTGCCCCAGAGGGCATTAATGTGGCGTCCACGCTACACCACACTGTTCTTCCCTCCCTTCTTCCCCCCCCCATCCCGTCTCCTCCTTGCCCGGCCCTCCTTACCCTCCTCCTTCCCCCTGGTCCTCCGGGTCCTGCTGTCCCTCCCCAGCTCGCTCTCCGCCCTCATCTCCACACCTCGTCCTCGCACCTCTCTTCTCCAATGCCCGCATCGAGCCACAGACAGCTCGGGGCGCTGGCCGCCGGCGGCATGGCAGAGGCACTGCCAGGCGCTCACAGTTCTTAGCCCGGGGCAGGACAGGCATCGAGATCGAACTGAAAAAACGATCTCCCTGTGGTGGTCGACGCCAGTCTTCAGGCCGCACCTTCCTGCCTCTCCGACTGCAGAGAGGGGACAGAATTGGCAACGGCCGCCTGGCAGAGTTCCTGGCATGCTGCTCATCGCCTGGCCCGCCTTAATGAAGAGGCCCTTCGATGACTCGGCGTGCTGCTTCATCTCGAGCGCGCTCTGACCTCACGCTCAGGTGTCGGAGGGGGGGTTGGAGGCCTCGATAACTATGGGCACCAACACCAACACAGGAGGCTGCCTCAACAGAGGGATGATGATCCTCTATTGTGGTGTTGGTGGTAGTAGTTCGGCTACCTTGAAACCAGAATATTACCACCATCATCCCCAGACGTGTGACGTCCTGATTTTTTCAGGACGGCGTCCCAGGAAGTCCAGAGCCTTCCCCGGGCCCAGTTTTCCATCCTGAGTCGTTTTTTGACGATCCCGAGGCCCAGCGAGGCCCCCTGAGGCCGAAATTGGCAAAAACCTGTCGAAATTGGCAACAAATTGTCGAACATTGTAAAAAAATCGTCCCCAGACTATTTTTCCCTACTTCGAGAATTCCCCCTGTAATGGGACAGGCCACTTAAATCTAGATCGGGATCTTCTTGCCTCGGCGGAGGCACGCCCGCCGCCGATGGTTGGTTTTGGTGCCAGCCTCCAGGCCTGCGAGGGGTGGGGGGGAGGGGCGACTCTCGCAGTGGAACCGCACCCCTCCTCTCTTTCTTTCTTTCTCTCTCTCTCTCTCTATCTCTCTCTCTCTATCCCCCCCTCCCGCTCGGGGGAAGGGGGCTCCCACTCGCCGCCGGCGTCGAGGAGAGCAGCGAGGAGGAGAAGAGAAGAGAAGGCCCTCCCCCCAGAGATCCGACGCTCCCACAAAAAAATTGGAGCGGCAGGATTTGGGCACTCTTCGGCCTCCCGGGGCCCTCGGCGGGCCTCGGGAGCGTCAAAACACGAATCAGGACGAACAGAAATCGGCCCTGGGGAAGTGGTCCAGACCTCTGGGGCCCAGGCATCGAAAAATCGGAGTGGTTCAGAGGGCGGCGGGACTTCTCAGAAGCCCTCGCGCCCTCTGAGAGGTTCTTGTTGTGTCTTTGGGGAAGGCTTAAACGACTTCTCGGCGAAGGCTGGGGAACTTCCTGACCTTCTGAGGAGGCCTTCCCCTTCTCACTTCCCCCCCTTCCTCGCCGCCGAGCTCAACGCGGTGGCGCGCTGAGGGGGGAGATGAGAGGGGGCGGGCCTTGTCTGCAGGCGGCGGGGCTTCTCACAGCTTTACCAACCTGCGACGGCCGCTCTCCCCGAGTCGCTGCCGTTCACGACTTCGTGGAGCGCGCGGAAGGAGGCGACGCCAAACAGCACGGTGAGGAGCACACCAGGAACGTGAAGGTGGGGCTTCTCAGAATTGAGCAGGGGCCGACCCGACCGTCCCGGCGTTCCTATAGGCCTGCCACCAAATGTTCTTAGAACCCAGAGCTGTTCTTAGAACATAAACCCGCTGTGCTAAAAGAAGACAGCCTCAACCAGACATGTTCTAAGAACATGTCGTGCAGACCACAAAAGGTTCTTAGAACATTCTGTGGTGGGCCTATAGGCGAGCCAGGACGCTTCGCCACTGCTTGACAGAAGCCCTCGGGCCTTCTGAGGAGCCCCCTGTGGTTTCGGAGAAGGCTCAACGGCCGGCAGACAGGCCTCAAGTGCCGCACGAGCGTCAGCGAACACAACGAGCTGGCAAGACAATTGCACGGCCACGCCTGGGATACAGAGAAAGAAAGAGAGAGAGAGAGAAACAAAAAAAAGCCCAGACGCACGAGCGGGGCGTCCGACACTCCGGCGACTCCCTCCCGCAACCACCGCGTGAACTCTCTCCAGTCGCAGCTGTGGCGAAGGCGCACCGCGCCCGTCGCCTGAGCGGGCGCGCGCTTCGCCTGGGCGGAGGGCTTTTTCCAGCAGGTGGCGACGTCCGAGCCCTGCCCCCCCCACCGATCATCGATTGGGGGGACAGACAGGTACCGATACTGCTACCTGCTACCCCCTCGGACCTCTCACGGGGTGCGTTCTGACGAGGATCTCCAGGCGAATCCAGCGGTGGCGGCGAGGACCTCCCAGGAGGCCCAAAACGAGAAAAACGGGGCGAAGGGTAGCGGCGTGGTTACGGTTTCCTCTTCTGACCGACCCTGCAGGATTGATGGGAGGCGAGGGTAATTAGGGCTTCGGAGTTCGCCAAGTGCTCGACGCATTCCGAGCCCAACCCCCGTCGCCCATCGAGTTGCCTGAATCCTTGACCGGAGAGTACAATGGAAACCCTTGCGAAGAAACACCCTGCTTGCATCTCGGTGCCCTGGGTTTCTTGGGTTTCGATGGTTTTGCCATGGAAAGCGCGACGCTCCCACACCAAAAACCTCAAAAAACCTATGGACGTCCTGGGGTCGCAGGGTTGGGTTTCTTGTGGAAGAACTCTTGTCGTCGAGCTCCTACTGTAAGGCTCGGATGCAACGCCGGTTCAGAACTCTCCGGAGGCCCCCCCCCTCGGGCAGGAGGCGTGCGGAAGCCTAACTGCTCTCGAGGAAGCTCCCGAGAATGCGAGGGCTGAGATCCTGGGACCACACCCGTCGGGGGGGGCACAGAAAGGTGGGGTGGGGCCACAGGTGGGGTTGGAAGGAATATTTCTCCGAGCGGCCCCTGGAAGAAGGAAACGCGTTAAACGGGAGCATCCAGCTGGACCCGTTCCCCAGCCCCACCTTGGGATAACCCTCCCTCTACGAACCGCCGAACCCGCGCCGTCGCCACCGACAAACCAACTCCAGCCCCCGCTCTTTGAGGGCACCGCGCCTCGGATCTCGTCTCCAGTCGGGTGTTCGTTCACGGGGGGGGGAGAAGAAGCGTGGGGTGGAGAGACGTCCGCTCTTCGTGCACCTCTTGGGCCCTGCGGTGGCAGGTTCGGGGCCGTCTATCGGGGGCGCGCAGACATGGATTAGCGATCCATGGATCTGGCGCGCGAAAGCCACATCCATGGATCGGGGGAGGTGCCCTCGCCAAAATGCGGCCGGTGCCGCCTCGCTCGGTGGCAGAAGCCCGCGATTCTTGTTCCCTGGAAGCGTGACCCGCCGCTGATCCACGCCCCCTTGATGTCCATGCTTGCGATCGCCTGAGTCTATGGGGCTGCTTCAGGGCGACTTCCCTGCAATGCTCGAGATCCCCCCGCGCGCATGGCCCCCCGCCGCCGTCGCCGCCCAACCCGCAGTCCCCGCTGTGCTGCGGGGCCGGGCACTGCGGTGCGGGCCGGGGCGCGCCGAGGCTCTGGCTGTGCACCTCCGTCCAGAGCGGCTCGGCCTCCTGCGGTGGAAGGAGGCCGTCACCATCATGTCTGGCGCCGTTGCCGTCGCCGCCGCCGCCGCCGTCGCCGCCGCCGTCGCCGTCGCCGCCATCGTCGTCGTCGTCGTCGTCGTCGTCCGGCACGAGGGATTCCGCGAGGGAGGAAGAGCAGTGCGGCCATCGTGCTACCCAAAGGAGCGAAGCGGGCAAGGTGCCCTCGCGACGCCCCGAGAGCCTCCCCAAGAGGGCCTTCCCAGGAGGACCCGCCGAACAACTTCAACGATCGCCGCAAGTTCTTGCTCCTTCTGGGGGTCGGCGGACTGGCGCGAGTCGTCACTTGGGTAAGGAACGGAGCGGCGTTTCTGGCCAGGGCAAGCTGCACGGTTTCCCCCGGGGCCGTAGGCGACCCGAGGAGGGGGAGGAGGAGGAGGAGGAGGAGGAGGAGGAGGAGGAGGAGGAGGAGCAGGAGGAGCAGGTGGAGCAGGAGGAGGAGGAGGAGGAGGAGGAGGAGGAGGAGGAGGAGGAGGAGGAGGAGGAGGAGGAGGAGGAGGAGGGGAGAGGAGGGGAGGAGGAGGGGAGGTGAGGGGGAGGAGGTTGAGGAGGAGGAGGAGGAGAGAGGAGGAGGAGGAGAGGAGGAGGAGGAGGAGGAGAGGAGAAGGAGGAGGAGGAGGAGGAGGAGAGAAAGAGAAAGGAGGGTAGGAGAGGAGGAGGAGGAGGAGGGGGATGGTGGAGGAGGAGGAGGGGAGGGGAGGAGGAGGAGGAGGAGGAGGAGGAGGAGGAGAGGGAGGAGGTGGCAGGAAGGAGGAGGAGGAGGAGAGGTGGAGGAGGGGAGGAGGAGGAGGGAGGAGGAGAGGAGGAGGAGGAGGAGGAGGAGGAGGAGGAGGAGGGGGGAGATGAAGGAGGAGGCGGGTGAGGAGGAGGAGGAGGAGGAGGAGGAGGAGGAGGAGCAAGAGGAGAAGAAGGAAGAGAGGACGGGTCGCCTAAGCCCTTCGGAGAAACCCTCCACGGCGAGCCCCGGCCACAAACAGCTTCCCCGACTGAGATCGATTGGGTTTGATGCCCGAACACTCGAGCCCATCTCCCGAGCCCAAGGTGGTCCATGCTTCAGCGTTCGGCCTCCTGCGGAGGGGGACCAATTCAGGCAGCGGCTGGCATGAGAGCAGATAGTGGCGCAGATTATCTGGACAATCGCACCCTAGGAGGCACCGCGCATGTCGTTGCATTCGAGTGTTTGTCGTCCATCCCCCAAGCCATGTCTTCAAGGCTGCCGAAACCCAGCTGGGGGGCTGAGTCCGGAGGAAAGTGGCCAACTCGTCCCAAACCACCCCCCCAGCCCCAGTCCATCCCATACCACTTGACCACGCTCCTCCGGACGAGCTCCCGCAGGTCATTTTGGAACAGGTGCTCGGCAATCGAAGTTTCGAAGACCATCTGCCACTTCGGGCGAACCTCCGTGGACCCAAAACGCCACCGTCCAAGAGCCTGCCGCCACCCCGCCCGCAGTTTTGGGTCCTCGGGGAAGCCCGACGCGGCCTTTTCGAGGGACACCGCGATGCAAGGCATCCTCCAGAATTGCGGGAAAAGAAAGTCGCCCGTCGCCGGGGCCAGGATAGAGGCCTCGCGGATCCGGACCAGCAACGGCCGCCAGACCGCGGTAGTCACGAGCGCTGTGCGCATCATGGCGGCGGCAGCCGTGGAACATAAAGAATAGACCGCTGGGCCTCCAACCGAAGCCAGATGAAACCAGTCCGCGTGCCTCGCCACCGAACTGGAGGTACTCCAGAGCTGGGCGAACCAATGTCGTTCCTCAGAGGTGCGCTGCCAGCTCATGGGGATGAGCTGGGAAACATAGGAGACGACAGGGAAGGCCCTCGAGGCGGAAAGCTGGAACGACATAGCGGCAGAAGCACCTTGCCCAGCAATCTGCCCCACACGAAGGCGCGCCTGGGACATGGGCGCCGCCCAGTTCATGTCAACAGTGCCAGTCGGGCCGATCCAAAAGCCGAGGTACTTCTACGATTCCAAACTGGCCCCAGTCGGAGCAGGCCGCCTCAAGCTGATGGCGAATGCGGCCCTCCCGAGCCTCAGACGGAGGTCCCCCGAGCCCCGCAACCTTGCGTTTCGGGAATTTTAAAAGCAGGGCAGCAAGCAGGTGCGCTACCCGGAAGATCCTGGCGAGCTCTCGCAAGCCCTTCGGTATTATAATCACTCCACCGACGTCGTCCGCACAGGCTCGAAGGGCCCCGTGGTCCCGACTCTGGATGGTCTCCTCCATGTCCCGATAAAAAGGGTTGGAGGCGGCAACATAAAGCGAGCCCGAAAGCGGGCATCCCTGCACAATGCCCGAAGTGATCCAGAATATGAGGCAACTCACTCCCCCCTTCACTATCGAGCACGGGCTCAAGAGGTAGAACTGGACGACGACTTTCCGAAATCCGGCGGGGACTTTGGAGACCGAGAGGGCGCAGTGCAGCCACGACTGGCGCACATACGGGAACGCCTGCGCAAAGTCAAAGGCGAGGAGCATCGGCTCGAAATCACCCTTGTCCCTGAACCGCCAGCTGGCAGCCCGCGAAAGGCCATCCAACTCCACCACGTTGCTGAGCACCTGGCGTCCTGCAATGAAGCTCTGCATGCCCGCCCCCGTGGCCCGAATCCAGGGCTGGATGTACCCGTTTAGGAGTGGGGGGTTCCCCGCAGGGCCCTGTATGGGCCCTTGCGCCCCGCGCCGACAGGTATGCGGCGCTGCGCGCGTTGGAAGTTGCACCCCAAGGGGCCGAAGTGATCACGGATCACCTCTAGCTCGTCCGCGAAGGATGCTCTTGGGATCCTAGTCTGGCCGAGGCACGAAAGGTACATGCTGATATATGGCGCAAGATGTTCGAGCTGCACGGGGGCGCCAGAGACAGACCGCGCTTCCGCCGGGTCCCTGCTCACCGAGGGCCCGAAGATATCATTAGTAGCAGTAGCTGCAGCTCGGACATCCAAGGCTACCCTGGAAATGTATGTGCAGATGTTTTCGCACGACATGGATCAGCGATGCAGAAGGTTCCAGATGGTGCTGTCCAGGCCGAAAGAGCCCATATTCAAAAGCACCAGCTCACTTAGGATTTTCTATCACGTGCGATTCAGATAATTAGTCTGGCGGGTGACGGAGTGGACGCGACACCTCCACCCCCCAAGCTGGCCCCGATCATGGTGCCTAAGCTGACCTTGCGGCACCATGAACTTTATATTGTTGCCTCTCGTTCAGAATGGAGATGCAAGCGCTGCAATATGACAGCGACCACCGACCTGACCCTGCGGGGAATGCGAACGGGGGGACGTCGTGTTTGCAGGCCAACTCCCATCCAGCAGTGGAGAGCGAATTTGATGTTCCAGCAGCTCGCAAACGAAGGAACTAAGGCTTCTTCTGACTCTGCCCCTGCTGCGCGTGCTGCGTTAGAGTTTGCTGATTTGGTCCTGAGGCCCGTGCCTGGAACCTCGACCTCTGGACCTCCTGAGGACCTGGGGACCTCCACCTCTGCTTCCAACTCCAGGGGCGTTTCAGGCACGGAAGAGGACGGCCTGAATGTTTTTAGAGACCTCCAGCACAGACCTGTTCGGCACGGTCGGACGATCATATGTCAAGCCTGCACGTGTTTTCTCATCATGCCCGCTGGGCGCTGTCGAGGGCTTGCTGCGAAGTCCAAAGCCGATCGTGATGTACAGTCGAAGGAGATCACGAATGCTGAGAGGGGCAGGCACCCAACCACTGGAGTGCCACTCGACCCTGCCCCAACCGACCAGGGTCCGCCCACGTCGACTACCCAACATGTTGCCATGGCTCAGTGCTCTGACGAGAACGCTGCTACGGTAGCCTCGAGAAGTGTTGTGGGGCTTGGCGCGGGGGAGGGGGACTCGGGATCTTCGGAATAACAAGGACGGGGCAGCGAATGGAGTTCGTTGCCCGCTTCATATTCCCAGCAACTGTGCCTTCCGTCGGCCTCGTGCCGAAATGTAGCAGCCGTGACAGCTTGGAGACTGCCCTGCGGGCTCTGAGTGTATAGCGTGGCCAGCACTGTACCCTCGGGAGGTGCCTCCCACGACTGCGGCTTGGCGCCCTCGCGGCCGCCTATTCGAACAGGAGGGTTAGCACGTCTCTGTCCACCCTCCCGCGATCCCCATTCGCTGGCCTCAGCTATCGATTCGACTGCTGCTGCGCCACTCGCTCGCTCCCTCCTCCTCCTCCTCCTCCTCCTCCTCCTCCTCCTCCTCCTCCTCCTCCTCGGGGGGCCTCTTGCCCCGCCAGCCGTTCTCGGAAGGACCCCGCGGGGCCCGCGAAGGGGCCCGCGGGGGGGAGGCGACCTGCGGAAAAACGGTGGGCGACCTGAATCTCCCAAATCTCCGACGAGATCGGATCGGCTCGATCCTTGCGCCTTTCCTCGGTTTCTGCAAGAAAACTCCTGGCGACCGCAATCCCAAACCTCCGACGATCTGCACGCAGGCGCTGTGGTGTACACGGGCACACAGGCGCTGTGGTGCAGACCGCCACCGAAATGCTGCTGCTACCCGCCACCGGTCCTTCCTGAGCATTGCCAGACGCCGCCGGCGCGAAACGTGACGTCATCGGCCCCCTCCCCCCTCCTAGGGAGCCCACAAAGGACGTACGCGCCCAGCCATGTACATGAACACGGCCCCTCGATCCGCGAGACTGGCCGCGCTATACGGACATTTGCGCTATGCGTTCTCTCGAAACCAGTGTGGATTCATGTACGTGCACGTCCTTCTTTCGCTCCTGACCTCCCCCCAAATGACGGCCGTCATCGGCCTCGCATAGAAAACCAGGCTCAAATCTCTGACGATCTGATTGGTTTGATCCCTGCGCCTTTCCTCGCCCTCGGCCTCCCGGGGCCCGTCATCTCGTCCCCGCGGGGCCCATTGAAAACGGATCTGGGACGAAGAGCTGCCCCATGCAGGGGGAAGGGTTCGGTCGGGCATGCCCTCCTATAGACGGATTCTGGACAAATGAGAAATATTCCACAAATAAGCACACGGAATCAAAAGAGCACGAGAAATTGTCACCAGACTAGTTTTGAACTGCTCATGAGTAATCCCCCTGTGGGGGGTCATGCCCGACTTCAGGGAAGGGGCCGGGACGTCTCGGGCCGCGCACCGGCAAAACTCGGACCGCCGGGTGCTCCGGATCGGAAGCGCCCGCCCCTCCGCACGTCTGGCACACTGATCTGTTCGACGCGTGGCGTGAGCTCATATTAGCCAGCGAGGACGAAGACAACTTCGAGGCGCCGCGGCCTTCCCAGAGCGTTCCGGAACGCTCTGAGAGCGTTCTAGAACGCTCTGGAACGGATGTATCATCGTCCCAGCCACATGGTTTTTTCATGGCGTCGACCCCCAGGGGTCTCGACCCACTCCCCGGGACCGGTTTCTTATCTCGAGTCGTGTTTTGACAGCCCCGCGGCCCAGCAAGGGCCCGCAGAACCCCCCCGCCGTGACTTTTTCAAGACTCGAGGGGGTATTTGTCCGACGTGGGCCCCCCGTCCGCGGAAATCTCGGGGGCGCCCAAGAGGGGGGCGTCCAAGAGGGGAGTGCGCAAATCATGGCCGGCGGCATGTGCGCGGCCCAGGGGGGGGGGGCAGGGGACGCAAGGAAATAGGGAGAAGCGCCATGAAATCTGGGGAGATGTCATGGCCCCCGCCATGATATCCCCCCCCCCTAGTCAACACACCCCCCCTGGCCGCCCCCGAGAAGTCTGGCCCCCCTACCCGGGGGGGCCAGCTCTTCATCCTGCGTCGTGCGTTGACGATCTCCCGGGGAGCCGAGGCAGGCCTCCGGATGCCAGGAGAGAAGACGCGAGAAACAAGTGGCCGCCTCGCTCTGGTCGATGGGCTGGACAGCTGGGGGTGGAGAAGAAAGAGGAGGAAGAGGAGGAGGAGGAGGAGGAGGAGTAAAAGCAGGAGCAGGAGCAGGAGCAGAAGCAGGAACAGGAAGAAAGCGGGGGGGACAGAAAGGTACCGATACCACCACTCCCCAGGTCTCTCGCGGGTTCGTTCTGACCAAGATTTCGCGGAGAAGCCAGCCGTGGTGACGGGGACTCTCCAGAACGAGCAGCGGTAGCGGTGCCTTTCCCTCATCTGAGACAGCAGGAGAAAGAGCAAGGAAGGAGGATGAGGAGGCCGAGGAAGAGGGTTGAACCTGGAGTGGGTCCGGCGTCGGGTCCACGCGTCCTCCGGCGACAGGTTCTCGGTATCGGCCGCGGTCTTCTTCAGACGGTAGAATATCGTCCTGGCACGGCGTGCTCACCACACTAGGACACTAGGATACGAATAAATCCGCGAAAGAGCTCCACGGAGGAGCTGCTGCCCGGGGTGCGCAGGCGAGAAGAGGAGGAGGGGGAGAAGGAGGAGGAGGGGGAGAAGGAGGAGGAGGAGGAGGAGGAGGAGGAGGAGGGGGAGAAGGAGGAGGGGGAGGAATGCAGGAATGCAGGAATGCAGTAAGAAGACTGCGTCTGCTCACAGACTCAGCTCTACCAGAGACCCCCCTGGGAGGAAATCAGGACCGTAGCAGGAGACCCTACCTGCAAGACGGACCTGGAACCAAAACTACCTCTGGACCCCAGGCGCCGAGAGTGGCTGCCGAGTCTTGGGATGACGGCCAGCTTCCAGCTGGGCCAGGACCCGTCCCCGAAAGGTAGGCAAATCCAGAGGGCCATGGCACGGTGCCAGAAAGGCCCTGCCCACTCTGACGGACCCGTCGGCCCCTGCCCACCAGACGACCGTGCCCGTGACGGAAAGGTCGTGGACCTCGGGCGTCAAAATCTTCGAAGTCAGCCTCACAACAGGCCTCCGCGAGCGAGAGGACTCCCCCACACAGTCGCCCCACGCCCGCCCTCGCGCGCAGGACCAGAGCCAAGCCGAAAGAGGAGCAGGAGGAGGAGCAGGAGGAAGAAGAGAAGGACAAACCCAAGATGCATCAACGATGCTCGAATACGCCCATCCGTCCCGAGTCCCCTCCTGATAAATCCCTCCTGGAAAGAAGCTGTCCCCAGCCCGAGCCATTGTTTCGACAAGTCTAGACGTCTGGTCACAACAACCTCAACACGTCTCACGCAAGAGACCAGAATTGTGTAGAAGCTGCCACCATCCGTGCAGCTGACGCACAATATGAGCTATCTTTGTTCACAAGGGTTAGGACGTCTCAAACGAAAATATCCATCCGTATACGTTACTGCTTGAAGCTTGCAAAAGTAATATGCGCGAAACTGAAAAGATAACCATAGTTGAAAAAAAGGCACCGCGCCCAGTCCGTGTAACGGTTCGTGGCTTTTACAACGAATGTGCGCGGCGCCAAAGCGAGAATCCCATTTAGAGAAATAGTCCGCCCTCCAACCGCTTGACTGTTGTTGAACCGTCTTCACGCGGCGCTACGGCGAGAGGACAGTTTGAAACCGGCCCCCTGCCTTCGTGTAAGTGCCTGTCGTGGAAAAACGCGAGTGTGCGCGGCGCTGAAGCGAGAACAACGTTTCGAGAACCGCCCATCCTGCATCCGTGCAAGTGTTGGAACATGTAAAGAGAATCTGCGCAGCTCAGGAGCGAGAGCCACGTTTTGAAAATGCCCCCCTCCATCCGTGCAGGTGTGGTTGAAATGTCAAGATTGAAGGGGCCCTGAGACACACAAATAAATAAACACAAATAACAAGATTCTCGCATGTCCCATATTTTCTGGGTTTTTGTCTCACCCCCAACCTCCATAGTTTCCCATATTTCTGGGGAGTCGACGATTCATTGTGCCTGTGTGTTTTTTCCCTCCTGATAGATTTGAGGTCGTGGACGGAGAGGGAGACTCAGGCGAAACGCCCGGCCGCCCCACCGGCACACGTCTGGTGGCCAGACCAGGAGTTATCTACAAGGGAGAGGGGAAGGAGGAGAAAAGGCCAGGAGGACGACGACAACGAGGCCGTAGGTCGACGCGGGGAAGGAGGAAGAGGACGAGGACGCCGTGTGGCTGTTGGATCTGTCACGCTTTGAGATCGCACCAGCAGGATGAAAGTGTGGAGCAAACCGCCTGGCCCGCCCTCACGGCACGTCCAGCGGTGCGATAGGGAGGTGCTGCTTCTAAGGAAGGGGGATAGAGGAGAAAATCGACAAAGGTGACGAACTCCTCCTCCTCCTCCTCCTCCTCCTCCTCCTCCTCCTCCCTCCTCCTCCTCTCCTCCTCACGTGCCTCCTATCCTCCTAATTACTCCTCCTCCTACTCCTCCCTCCTCCTTCCTCCTCCCTCCCTCCTCCTCCTCCTCCTCCTCCTCCTCCTCCTCCTCCTCTCCTCCTCCCTCCCCCTCCTCCTCTCCTCCTCCTCCTCCCTCGCCTCCTCCTCCTCCTCCTCCTCCTCCTCCTCCTCCTCCCTCCCTCTCTACTTCCTCTCTACTCCCTCCTCCCCTCCCCCCTCCTCCCTCCCTCCCTCACAATCCTTCCCTCCCTCGGAGCAACATGGCGAACCAGTCCGCCGCCTGTGGACGCCGCAACCGGCCAGTTCAGCCTACCGTTGTCGCCTCCCTCCCTCCCTCCCTCCCTCCTTCCTTCCCTCCCCAGCTACCACCATCACTACCCACCCTCCCTATCCAGTTCTTTCTTGCGCAACTTTGGAGCGCGCAGCGCTGCGGCTACCTTTGGCTCAACGATGTGCTAACTCCTCCCGACGACGCTCCTAGTCAGACCGCAGGGCGGGCCGACAAAGAAGCGCGGGCCAAAGACACAGCTGGGATAGGCCGGAAAGCGAGGAGTCGAGGTGCACGGTTTCCCCCGGGGCCGTGGGCGACCCGAGGAAGAGGAGGAGGAGGTGGAGGAGGGGGAGGGGGAGGAGGAGAAAGAGGAGGGGGAGGAGGAGGAGGAGGAGGAGGAGGAGGAGGAGGAGGAGGAGGAGGAGGAAGAGGAGGAGGAGGAGGAGGAGGCGGAGGAGGAGGAGGACGGGCCGCCTAAGCCCTTCGGAGAAGCCCTCCAGGCCGAGGGAGGGGCGAGGAATGGAGGAGGACAGGGAGGGACGACAACAGGACAGGACAGGACAGGACAGGACAGGCCGGGCCGGCAGCCAGAGGGGGTGGGGTGACGGGGAGAGGCGGCCGAGCAGGGGGAGAGAGAGACGAAGACGAAGACGAAGGAGACGACGACGACGAATAAGAAGAGGCTTCGTCTTAGTCTTCGCCTTCGCCTTCGAGAGGGCGCAGCACACAGAGGGGGAGGAAGCACACAGGGCAGGAGGGGCACGCAGGGGCTGGCTCTTCTTCCGCCTCCCTGCTCCCCCTGCTCCCTCTGCAGACTGGCCCCTCCTCCCTCCCCCGTGTGGCGGCGAGGGAGGGGGGGGGAAGTGACAAGGAGAAGGCCTTCCCCGAAGGGCAGAGAACACTTCTCAGAAGGCGCGAGGGCTTCTGAGAAGTCCCTCCGCCTTCTGAGAAGGCCCTCTCCTTCTCACTTCCCCCCCTCGCTCGCCGCCGACCCTTCCTCTGCCAGGGCGGGACGAGGATTAGGTCGGGCATGTCCTCCTACAAGGGAATTTTGGATGAACGAATCATTTTTTGTTTAAGTCCCCTGACTATTTTTGGACTAGTTTTGAATATTCCTCCTGTAGAGGGACAGGCCCGATTTAAGACGAGGAGCAGGACGAGGACCACTGCACCCGTGGCAGAAGCGATCGCACTCGCGCCAACGTGCGTCAGAGCAGAACCCAGACGAGGCCAAACACACACACACACACACACATCGGGCTGCTTGCTGGACTGGCGCTTCCTGCGCTGGATCCGGCTTGGCAGCAGCCCGATCGGAGAACCCAATCAACGGTACCCCTCCCCTCTCTGAGAGGAGGAGGCGGAGGAAGAGGACAAAGAAGAAGAAGACGAATAATACGGATGAAACCGATGTTGTCCGCACGGGACGGCCAAGGGGACCCTCCAAGTCCTCTCAAGTGGGGGAGCGGCTCTGGACCCTGAACGGCCTGGTGGTGATGCGCCGGGCACGAAGACTCAATACGCACGTGCTTGCAAAGGGTGCTACGGAAGCAGCTTCGGATGCGCCACGTGATTCCAAGGCACGCGGGGCCGCAAGGGGACTGGCCAATCCCAACACGAAATCGCTGCGCTCTCGCGCTGCTACTGTACTGTACTCCCAATGGAAAATGATCGAAATTGGCTCCATGCTTTGCGTTTGGGCTGCTGTCTCCATCTGGCGGGCTGGGGAAAGCCAGTACCCCCCAAACCACGCATCTCTCGGACGAGCAACGGCTATCTCCGCTGGTATCCGCAGGTGGACGCGGCCTCGTGTTGCTTCCGCCGCCTTCCGCTTGCCCGCCGCCACCTTCTGCCGAGGAGGAGACGTCAACCTTTCTCAAACTCTCGAAGGCGACGCCCCTTCCGGAACGCCGCATCTCTCCAGAGGGCCAACAGCATTACGTCGTAATCGGCCGCTTGCTTCCGGCTTGGGCTGCCACCTTCACCTGGGGGCTCTGTCTGGCACGACCGCGCCAAGTCCAGCACTAGGTCGGGCATGTCCCCCTACAGGCAGATGTAGGAGGAATATTAAAAAAAAGGTACGCCACACATGCTAAACAAATGTTCAAACATAAAAAACAAATCGTCACCAGACTTTTTTCTGTTTTTTAATACTCCTCCTGTGGAGGCACAGGCCCGACTTGAGCCCAGCACTGAACGAGCTGGCCGCCGTCCTCATGAGCCACAGCGTGCGCCAGCGCCGCCTCTGGAAGTCCCACCAGGTGAGGTCGGCGGTCTCCCAGACGGGCCCCTTCGGCTTGGACAGCTCCTTCGAGGAGGCGGAGGAGGAGGAGGAGGAGGAGGAGAAGGCAGGAGGAGGAGGATTGGAAGGAGGAGGAGGAGGGGGAGGAGGGGGAGGAGGAGGAGGAGGAGGAGGAGGAGGAGGAGCAGCAGCAGCAGCAGGAGGAGGCGAGGACGAGGCGCCAGAGTCGCCAGGGAGCCCACGCGTGCCCATCGCGGGCACGGAGTGGAGGCCGCAGCCTCGGCAGAGGCGGGCGTGGAGGCGTCGAGCGGAGAAGGCGCAGGTGTGCTCAGCTGCGGCGCACTTCTGAGGGAGGAGGGGGGAGGAGGAATGCAGCGAGGGCCTCGGGCTCCGAGTCGCACAGGAGGAGGAGGAGGAGGAGGAGGAGGAGGACAACGTCGGCGACGGGGGCGAGAACTTCATGACAGACGACGGCGAGGGCGAGGACGGGGACGAGGAGGAGTCTGCCGCGCGGCCAAGCTGTCTTCGGCCCAGGCCGAGTTTAGCCCGGTCGAGTGTTCAGTTGCTGCCTTAGGTCACGGGGGACGCGGGGACACCAAAGCTTAGCGCGCACGCCAGTTCTCGGGGGGGGCCCTGTTGGTCGGCTCCTGGTTTCGGCCGCGAGCGAGGGGGGGAATCGAGAAGGGGCGGGCCCCGGAAGTCCCCCGGCCTTCGGAGAAGTTTTCTAAGCCTTCCCCGAAGACGCAGAAAGACTTCTCGGAAGGCGCGAGGACTTCCGAGAGAAGTCCCGCTGCCTCCTGAGGAGGCCTTCTCCTTCTCATTTCCCCCCCTCGCTCGCCGCCGACCCTTCCCCTGCCGGGGTGGGACGACGATTAGGTCGGGCATGTCCTCAACAGGGGAATTTGGGAGGAAAACTTAAAAATATTCAGAACATATTCAAAACTAATGGAAAAATGCAAAACATCGTCCCCAGACGATCGTCCAAAAAAATAATCGCGCACAGACCCCCCCCCCTGGTAGTCCCAGCTGGCCTCGGCAGGCCCCCCGAGCAGTCCAGGGCGGCCTCGGCACCACCTGGCGCCGCCTCCGGCGGCGCCCTCTTGGGCGCTCCGCGCCCCTGACGCTGGGGTGCTGAGACCGCCCTGACAACTCGGGAGGCTTGTTGAGGCCAGCTCCTCCTCCTCCTCCTCCTCCTCCTCCTCCTCCTCCTCCTCCGCCTCCTCCCCGGGGGGGGGGGTTGTGCGCGACCCGAAGCCTTACCGGCCCGCGTGTCGGCGGCGAGCCCAGGGGGGAAGCGAGAGGGGACAGGTCTTCTCAGAAGGCGGCGGGGGGGTGCTCGGAGGTCCTCAGGAACCTCCGAGAGGCTTTCTGTGTCTTCGGGGGAGGCATGGAGCTTCCCACGAGGCCCGAGGCCTTCCGAGCCTTCTGAGAAGGCCCGCCCCTTCTCACTTCCTCCCTGGGGCTCGCCTCCGGCTGTGGGCCGGCACCCAAAGGTCCCTCCGACGAGGGGTCGCTCTCCCTGGTGGCTGGCGCCTCCACGCCGAACGACGGGCCCTCGTGCTGCCAGGGGGGGGGGCGAAGGAGCGCCCGGCTCGACAACGACGCATGCGACTAAAACGACCGCGACTACGAATGCGACTACGACCACAACGACGACTACAACGACGACTACTAGTACGACGAATGCAACGAATACAACGAAGGCGACGACGATGCTGATGATGATGGTGATGATGATGATGATGATGGTGGTGATGATGATGATGACGATGGTGATGCTAATGATAATGGTGCTGATGCTGCTGATGATGATGATGATGCTGATGCTGACGACGATGATGATGATGATGATGATGATGATGATTATGATGATGATGATGATGATGATGATGATGATGATGATGATGATGATGATGATGATGATGATGATGATGATGATGATGATGATGATGACGATGACGATGACGATGACGATGACGATGACGATGACGATGATGCTGCTGATGATGCTGATGATGCTGATGCTGACGACGATGATGGCGAGGCCGGCCCGGCGGCCAGACGCCAGCCCTGGGGGCAGGTGTCGAGAGCTCCGGGGGCCGCTCGTCTGGAGAGGCCGGGGAGGTCGGATGCGCCTGGGGGTCTGGTGCGGGGCGGGGCCGCGCACGTGCGGAGAGGATGGCGCAAATGCCTCCGGGAGCACCCGGGGGCGCGACAGGATAGAAGACAGGCGGGGAGGAGGGGGAGCGGAGGGAGAGGAGAAGAGAGAGACTCGCCTTCCCATCGGGCTGAGGGCATGCAGCATCCGGTATGGCCGCTCGGGCGTGTCATCGGATAGCGAAAGCCTCCGTGGCTGCTCGGCTGGCACCTACCAAGCCAGTGCGCGCCGATGTTCGTGAGTGCGCTGTAGCGCCAATCGCGCGCGCGATGCGCTGCCATGCGGGCCCCTGGCTGCGGGAGCCGCGCCAGCCGCTCATCGGTTGGACGTCGGTCTCGAGTCCAGCCCAAGCCGGCCGCGACTGCGAGCCAGGCCCGGGAGGCCCGAAGGACGCCCCCGCGCGCCTTCGGGCATCGCGTGCCCGAGACGGCCCGTCGGCTGGCTCCACGCGGCACGCAGGCACCGACGACGCAGCTACGGTTGCAGAAAGCAGGCTGCCTGAGAACTCCGCGCCTCGCACCGCAAGGGGCACGGAGCGCGATGGTGTTCGCGCCCCTCGCGGTAGAACCTAGGAAGCCCTGTCACCTCCTCGGCTTAGCCCCAAGGCTCCCAATAATTCCCGTTATCTCACTCCGTAATCCTCCTCCTGACTGCATCCCCCCTCGCTCATGGGTGCTCATCCCGCTTCCTCCTTCACCCGCCCTCCTCCCCCACCTCCTCCTCCTCCTCCTCCTCCTCCTCCCTCCTCCTCCTCCTCCTCCTCTTACTCCTCCTCCTCCTCCTCCTCCTCCTCCTCCTCCTCCTCGTCCTCGTCCTCCTCCTCCTCCTCCTCCTCCTCCTCCTCCTCCTGGCCCAAGACCTCCCCGCCGAACAGCGATTAACGCGTCAAAAGGCTGACATCCACGCGTCTGCCAAGACGTACGCTCTGGGGGGACGGCGCCTTCCCCCAGAGGAAGGGGCAGGGCTGGGTGGCACTCGCGGTTTGTTTCATCCGCTGCCACTTTCGCCACCAGCTTGCCCCCCCCGCAGACGTCGCGGCAACTGCGGGGGGACTCACGCCGAGACGGGAAACCGAAGTGAGCGGGGGACGGGAGAAGGAAGACGGCTGTCAGTCCCGCAGCGCCGCGGAAACAGCGGGAAACGACAAGGCGTCAGACTCAGCTCTCCGAGCTGGCGTCACGAACAAACACTGCCTATTGACGGAACAATTCACGATGAGCCCGCTGAGGCAAGGCACGCAAGGGAAACAAAAGACCCTGCGGACGGCAACAGCGGGGGAGAGGCCGAGCTGGAGTGGCAGTGCAAAGGACGGCACGAGGGTCCCAGACCGAACCCACAGCCCAGCCCAGCACAAAGACTGACAAATGCAGCCAACGGACTGCCCCGCTGAGCAACCGACGCCGCAGGGAAAACATTACCTTCAGCACCCCACAGCCGTGCAACAGCGGGGAGAGAGCCGAAGCAGGTGCGGCAGTGAACAAGACGGCACGAGGGCCCCAGATCGAACCCACTACACCCACCGCGGCCCACACGACAGCCCGTGGCAAAAGGCGGGGGGAAAGGAGGGAGTGCGCACCTTCCCCCTGAGGCGGGGTGCCTGACACACGCGCAGACAACACCTAAGCGCACACACGCGCACACACACGCACGAAAAGCGCGAGACAGTCACATGGCGACGCCAGGACGACTAGGCAAGCCACCCCTGGTGTAGGAAACACCTGGACGGCGCAAGCCTAGCCCCTGTCGTGGGCCACACAAGCAACAGAGGGTGCAAGGGTCGCCTCGAGCCGGCTTCGAACGTGCCACAAAGTTAGGGGCCTGAGGCCCTCGGCGGGAGCCCAATCCCGACCCGTGCATCTTGAAACCAACCACTGGAATCTTCGACTGGGCTGCTTCGACTTGAGCCAGTCGGGCCAGCTGTCAAACAAACTTGTCTAACAGACCAGCTGTTCTAACCGGCTCAGTCGGGCCAACTGTCAAACAGAATTGTCTAACAGACCCGCCGTTGCGAGATCAAGCGGGATCCCGACTGGGATCCAGCAAAGTGAACGGGCCACAAGGCCACAAGCGGAGGCGGAGGAGGAGGGAGAGCGCACCTTCCCCTGAGGCGGGGTGCCTGACACACGTGCAGACAACACCACAGCGCGCGCACGTACACAAACGGACGACGCCAGGACGACGAGGCAAACCACCCCTGGTGTAGGGAACGCCAGGACGGCGCCAGCCTCGCCCCTGGCGTGTGCCAATCAAGCAACAGAGGGTGCAAGGGTCGCCTTGAGCCGACTTCAAGCGCGACCCGAGGCCCCGTCTCGCCCCACAAGGCTAGGGGCCCGAGGCCCTCGTTGGGAGCCCAATCCCCACCGGAGCATCTTGAAATCAGAGACTGGAATCCTGCGAAACGTGAAAGGGCCACAAAGCCACAAAGAAACAGGCAACCCAGAATAGGTCAAGCAACACCAGGTGGAGGCCCCCGTCAAGTTTTCCCGCACTACCCCCGCGGTCCGACTAAACGGGAGCTCGCGGCGCGTGGGATCGGGGGGATGCCTTCGCGGGAGGGAACCTCAGCGCCTGGGCTGTCGGACAGAGGACGGGCGATCAGTCAGAGTCGTCGGATAATTCCGAAGACCACGACTGTGAAGACTGGCCGTCCAATCCATGCCAGAAAGACCCGCGGGCGCCGAGCGGTCGGTCCTCCTCACCTCGAGCTTCTGCTGCACGGCTGGCAGCACTCGAAGCAGCACTCGGGGGCCCCTAGGCGGCGCCTTCCAGACGGGCCAGTGAGAGCACGCGATGAACCTTGAAATCGAGGCGAGACTCCCCGCGAGAAGCGAGGCGACGAAGAACGTTGGTCCCGTGGTTCGAAGGGCGGGGCGGGCACGGATGGGCCAAAAAAAGAGACACGGATGGC